TGGTGGACCCTGTGGGAGGATCGCAATGCTGCCAGGCATGGCAAAGACAGGGAAGACCAGTGGAAGAAGAAGCACGAACAGCTTCAGCGGGAGGTGGAACTAATTTACGAGAAAGCGGATCTGATCCCAGCGGAGCTGGTGGATTTTATCTTCAAGCGACCGCTTGACGAGCAAATGGCAACGGGCCCAGGCGACATCAAAGCGTGGCTTGCCAATTGGCTGCCCGTCGTCGACAAGGCACTCAGGGACGAGCATGCACGCACAGCGCAGAACAATGACACAGGGTAACTATGCACAGAGGGGGTCTTACCGTAGAAATAGATGGCAATCCAGCCAAGGGTAGCTCGTTAGTCGTACAGCACCCTCCGGAGTTTTGTTAATTTCTCCGGTGGGGGGCTTACACTAGGCCCATCCTAAGTGGGTGCACTTGTGCGCCTGAGGTATATGGGTTCGTCACGGCACCGTTCAGCGGAACGTCTGACGAGGTGTAGCCTTTAAAATAAAATTTCGATATTTTTTGGAACGCACGACAAAGGCATCATTTTGAATCCAAGGTCACATTCATTAGACTGTTGGGTCGATGCTGATTTCGTAGGAAACTGGAGCAAGATCGATGCAGCAACCGATCCGAGTATGGCTAAATCCAGAACAGGGTACATCGTCACCTACGGAACGTGTCCCGTTGTGTGGTCGTCAAAGATTCAACGAGAGGTGGCATTATCCACCACAGAAGCCGAATACCGTGTCGGAGAGCCTGAGGTCGGTGATACATCTTATGCAGTTGTTGCAAGATGCTAAACGAATTGGATGGGGTTTCAACAGAGAACCACCAAGAGTGCATTGTCGAGTGTTCGAGGACAACTCTGGGGCGTTGGAGATGGTGCGATTGCCGAAGATGAGGGCACGTACAAAGCACATCAACGTCAAATACCACCATTTCAGAGAGCATATACGACAAGACAAAATTACAATCCACAAGATTGAAAGCAAGTACCAGTTGGCGGACATTGCCACGAAGCCACAACCAAGACCTCTCTTTGAAGCACAACGAGAGGGGATGTTGCAGTGGCAATCAGAGTTCCTCACCAAATAGGAGCTATCGTTGCCTGGACAGCATCTGAGGGCATGTGAGATTATTGACCTCATACTGGCTCACCCTACTCAACAATCTATGTAAACAGCATGCAAACCAGTACTCTGGCTCTCTCTCTATGTAACAAACTAGATGCATAAGATACTATGGGAGAGGAGTGTGCAGGACTAACTGTATTTGGATAAGCTAAACAGTTACAATTACAGCGAAGCAAGTAGCAAGATAGTAGCTCTAAAGTAGCTCACAATTTAACAATCTTTCACACAGAACCTAGTCCTGAATTTCGACTGTTCTTTGCTTAAGCCTGGCCCCGGCTGGCTTCCTTAGATAATTTCCCTACTCTAAAACCCCCCTTGATACATGGTCCTGGTCCACTGCATTTTGCTTCTGTTGCTGCCAAAAGGATGCTGCTGTCTCAAAGGAGTCAACGAACGTAGTCGTGTTGTTCTAGCAACAGCCAGTTGTCGGCCTAGTGGTACCGGTAGCAGTCCTGTGATCCTTGGCTAATTTGACTGGTATCTTCGTGTGTTGGCATCTCTAGAGGTAAATTCGCTTAATTGTGTCCCAGCCTGTGTCCCAGCGATGAATTTTTGCGGCTTGCACTCTTCGGGGCTTCCTTGATTGTTGTTTGAAGGTAACCTTTCAGTATGGTGGCATTGCTGGACCAACGACGAGTAATCCGTCTGGTAAACTTGTACCTGGTACGGTACCAGTAGTGCGCGAAATCCGTCGCACCTCTCCTCTACTAGCAGATTATCTTGATGGCTCCGTTTGTGAGGCTACCGTACCGTACGTACCGGTACGGTAGGATGTACCTCTTGGGTGTATCTTTCTTCCTGTTGGAAGTTGATATCTAACTCCCCTCCTCTTCCATGGTGACATGAACCTTTTGTGTCGCTGGGCTTGTATCATATGCAATGGTTGATCTCTCCACAGCCTTGCCTCCGGTGATCCTCATGGGAAGTGCTGTTCTTGTATCTTTGTTGTTTGAGTTTGTTATCCAAACTTCATTCCTGTGGGTTGTTTGGATCTCGGGGCTCGTGTCTTGAGGGCGGGGATCTTGGGTGATACTTGCCAACGGCTTGGGTGAGCTCCTAGAGCTGCTCTAGGAGTGGCCGAGATCTTGAGATGGATCCTCGAGATCCGTGACTAAGCTCTCGACTACTGGCTCTGTCTCGAGCTGTGGCTGCTGTACAGTAGTTGGGTGTCGTGCATTGGATCTTTTCTGGGAAAAAGAGTAGCACCTGGTACCTGGTATTGATGTCACAACAAAACCAACAAACTGCACAACCAACGTGCAACGCATACTACACCACATCCGGTATTCGCTGTTTGTTTACCAGTCACGAACCCATGGTTGTTTGATGGCCAGCTACAATGTAGTGCATGCACAAGTGTATTTTCCGAGGTGCTAGCTAGCACTTTGTTCTAAACTAATACGGAACAATTGGAGTATTGGAGTTGTTGTCTTCCTATGCTCTACTAGGTTTTTGGTCACGGTGTGACTTTTATGACGCGAGTAACATGTATGGTAAGCTACAAGCAACCTGATTAATGCGACTCATCGCAGCTCCAGGTCGTAGCGTCAATAAAGATACCGCAGCAGGTAACAAGCATTAGCGTGACTGGTTTGTACAACTGTGTCATTCACGTTGAGTTCTCTAGACAGATGAAGGACACGTGATATATCTTCACAAACAGTTGGCATCAGAACAGATCTGTTCCAACAACCATCGACCTCGGATTGGCATTATGATCGCCCTCATGCATCAGATAGATTCTATTCTCACTTCTAGCTAGCTAGCTAGATTTAAAGAATCGACGAAGTATTAGACGACCGGTATTCAGAGCAACTCCGGAACAATCCATGAGGAATGTGTAACCCGACAGAGGTAGCGAAATCACCATGCTCGAGCATGTAAGTGACAACCAACATGTATCCGGCCATGTCAACCCATATAACTAACACACGGGATCGTCGAGCCGAACCATCAGAAAGACTTGACAGGCGATGAAACAACCTTCATGGCTGGATATTGGTCAGTTTAATAGTGGTTACACATTATTGCGCGTCAACACTGTTCCAACGCATCACAGTAATACCCATCTGGTAGCTAGCTAGTGCTAGCTAGCTACCTCGCTAGATACAGCTGATGTCGAGATCTCGAGTAATAGTATCTCCTTTTCTTCTACCATTCATCAATAGCGAGGCCCACTATGCTACTACTGATAGCACTACCGGTACCGGTACCGGTACCTCCACAAAAAGTGACATGACCATGTATGAGCAAGGAGATGGAGTTCCCGCGGAAAAAGGGATTACTGCTGCTGATAGTCCAGCTCCCGTAGCGAGATGTGTCTTCAGTCCCAGAGCTTCGATTCGATTCAGCGAATGCCTTGTGGTGGTACGGCTGTCACCAGCCGCTCTGCCGTACGGTACCGGTATCGACCCCTATTAATAGTGCCTTATGCACCACATCCCACGCTTCAGAAGTCCATACTAGTATACGGTACGACCAACACCACTGAGGCTGACCTGAAACCATGGACTCCAACAGGCCCTTGCGCGAAAACTGCTGTGCAGCAAGTCTAGGATCACACCGCTACAGGTTGAATGTCACAAGTACAAGACATCCATCCTTCCACTCAAAACAAAAACAAGGACACCATCCAACAGCGAGTGACGAGTCGAATTTACAACACCCACTCCCACGATAAATTGCAGCTCCCACCGTGTCTGTCCCGCGAGGAGTGCATCTTGTCCTTGTTGTTGCAATATTGCCACACCATCAAATCGCAACCTTTGGCCCTTGCTCGAACCTTGCGATCATGGCCGATGCACTCGGAAGACTGACAATGATCCCGTGCCCGCAGTCGGGGCACAACAATTTGGCACTCGTCACACTCTACATGTACGATCGTGTCGCAGGAGGTGGCCTAGCCTGATTGACTAACGATGTTTTCGAATGCGATTGGTACAACCGTCCCGGCTCGTTCTATCCGCTCACCAATAACGGCCCCACACGTTGCATGGCATGTACTTGCGCACTTCTGTGGTTGGATTTGATTGAATCATCCCAACAATTCATTTGACAGGGTCCTTGCCTGACTTGGCATGTTCGTCATCTCTGGATCTCTTGATGACAGAATTGGAGGAACTGGTGGGCGTTGCGCAACATTGCCTCGAGGACATATATCTGTTCGAGTTCAAACAGCTCACATCACTGGACTGCATGGTTGGCCGCATTGGCCAAGCAATGCACAACTTGGACTCAGTGTCGCTGCATGGGTTTCCGGCCAAACAAGGTAACAAAACCACGATGAAATAAAGTCGGCCCATTACTCGTCAGACCGGTACCGTACGTACTGGTGTGGACACACCTGTCATTTTCCAGGCATGAGCGAGTAGTCTTGGTTCGAGCTTTGACAACGGTTGCGATTGTCCATGCCAGGGAATGGGGGACGAAGAAGGAGTCTAGTTGCAGCTAGAAAGAAAGAGCTTCGTATCGTGCAACTACGTGTATACCAGGTACAGTACCACTGACGTGCAGTGAGTGCTCGAGTTGCGCTTTTGTGGCTGCCGTGGAAGTCAATCGTCGACACGGATGCTCTGTTGGGTTTGTTGCAACCAAGGCATTGGGGCGGAATCCAGGTCGGGTGGCAAAAGGAATATTACTAGAGATCAGAACACTGACAGCCTTGCAGTAGACTTCGAGGGCCAGCATCGTTCAATTTTCTAGCTAGGAAAGCTATTGTTTCAGCTCGATCAATCACTATGCAGTGGAAAGATGAGTAGTACGACAAACCAGTTCAGGTTGACTGTTGCTTTTTATAAGCATGAAATGCAGTGGACATGACATGGACCACAACAAGTGGTCTTGCGCCAAGGAACTAGCTAGAACCTGTGTGCACGAAAACAAACTTGTAAAAATCGTAATGTATATATTCATATAAAACTACTCACTCTGTACGCATCGGCATCACCCTCCTTTTCTTCCCTTGCCAATGCAGTTGTTGTAGTTTTGTTTCATCGTCCAATGCTTGTGTGTTTTCTTGCTTCTTTTTCTTCCCTTGTATTTTCTCTTGTGTTTTTCTTTTTTTAACGGTCAAGACTTACCGGTATCGTCGTCGGGAACTCCCAGCTCCCTTCTTCTTGGGCCTTGCGGATGCAGATGACACCTTCCTCTTTCTCTTACACTGCCTGGTGCCTCCCCTGGGACGAATTGGTACGTGTACCTCCTCCTCATCATCATCAGACTCCATCTCGTCTGAGGTCCATGTTGAGTGGTTTTTTGGCTCTCCACCTTGGCGGTTTCTTCCTTCGCGGTTTCCTCCTTCCACTTCATACAGTAATCGCTGCCAACAATGCACACGAAGTGACGTTTTTGTTCCTCTGGAGGATCTTGCAGCTCTCTTGCTGTTATGTTATTGTTGTTGTTGTTGTCACTGTTGCGTTGCTGGAGACTGGCAACCAGATGATCCACAACGGGTTCCTTGGGGAAGAATCCAATGGCATGAAGTTTGGCCTTCATGTCCTCAGTCAAACTGGTTGATTTGCGTAGATTCTTGACCCAATTGTGTAGTCGTCTGTCATCAGAAAATGGAACATTGAAATGCCCATTCTTTGCATGGAATGATGCCAATGCCGCAAATTGTTCCCCCCATGTAGGTACGGGGAGGGATTTTGCCTGTGCTTTTTCCATGGGCCACACAATTTTATCATTGTGCTGCTGTGGCTGAACGGTGGTACCAGTACCAGTACCTGGGCCTGGACTTTGATCTTTCTTGTCCAAAAGTGATTGAAGTGTTGACAAATGAGACTGCTGAGACTTCAATTGAGACTGCTGAGACTTCAAAAGCATCATCATTAGCTCATTATTCCCAAGAGCACTAACACCAGCTGGAGGAACTGGAGGAGGTGGTTGCTGTACAGTTGGAGGCAAAACAGCAACTTGAGCTGGAGGAGGCACAGCCACAACTGCCACAACTGGAGACTCGGCTTCAGGACGAACAGCCACGGCAACGGTTCCACCATTAGGTGCAGGTGCAGCAGCAGCAGGAGGAGGAGGTTGGACAAGAGTATGAGTATGAGGAGCCCCAGTCACAGCTGGAGTCACAGTGGGTTCCACGCATTCAGAGTTCAATTTCTCGACTCCTTCTGTCCCATTCTGGTTGGTGGGGCGCGCAGTTTCCACCTCGTTTCCTGCTACAGCAGCAACTGTTGTTGTGGTTGCAACCAACCCTGAAGCATGGGTCCCCGTGTTGACTCGAGCCGGAGCATCCCTGCAAATCCCGGTGGCTCCCACAGCAGCAGTGGCTCCGTAACTGTCAGCCGTAAAATGCTCACCACCATTGACTGGAGGATCCTTCTTCTTGTGGTTGCAGGGATTGGTTTTGCCCCCACGTTGCTGTAGAACCATGTCAGTGGATTCTGTCTTGAGATTCGAAGCAGCATTTTTCTGTCCTTCGTCAAGGAAGTGTGCATCAGGTGCAACGGCTGACGTCTCTTCTTCCTCACTGCCAAGGGATCCCGAATTGCTCCTTTCGTCTCCCGCCGTACTGGTGTCCGAAACTTTACAAATATTAGTATTCAGAACAGAGCGAGCTCCACTATAGAGTTTGTGGAAAAAACCAAAAATGCCCCCTTCATTTTCTTCTTCGTCAGAAAACTCGGTGACAGTATTGTCTGCATTGATTTCCTTTTCTTCGTGGTTCGGCTGTGGATTGGCCTCTGGAGGACCTTGATTGATCTCGAGATTGACGGTGGTGGGAGATTCTGACTCAATTTTTGTAGGAGCCTCAGCGAGCTGATCTAAGGATCCCCCATTTGACCTAAGTACAGGTAGACTCTCCTGAGTGGGCAATCTTCCAAATGGCAGATCCAAAGTGGGAATCTGTGCCAATGCCATGGGCATCAAAACTTGACCCCTTTTGGGCTGCTGAGGCTGCTGGTAGAAGGGCACCTGCAGTAATTGCCAAGGTGGAATCTGAGCACGTCCAACATCAGGAGGACTGTAGGAAGTAGGCTGGCTTGGCGGTTGCCCATGGCCAGGAGGATCAGATCGGCATCTTCCCCAGGATGACATACCAAAAGTTGGTCTGATCAAATACCCGATCGAGTTATGAAGGGGGGGGGGGGAAGGAGTGAGGGGATACTAATACGCTACGGTAAATTAATGTATGGAATCAGCTGCTATCCTTTTGCTGTCGGCTGTCGCCATGTGCTGTCATTGTTGTTGCGGCTGCATGGTTATTCCGAAGGGTTCGGCAGGTGCAAGCCTTGCGCGCAGTTGGAAAGTTTGCAAATTTGCCAGTCTGTCTCAACAATATCAGCGCTCCCTCGTCGTCGTACCGATATCCCCGAGCCTCCGTACTTCGTGTATGCATGGAGTCAAGGCTTATCCTCCTCCTCTAGGACTGGAACGGAAGTGCCATTGTGAATATACTATTGCATAGAGTTAAGGACATCTCCTCGTTTGTGGCTATCTCTACCCGTAGACTCGTTTCGTTGGTGCCCCCCCCCACCGAAGGTTCTAGCGGATATGGTCAAGACGCAGAAACTGGCAATCGTACAAGGAACATCAAGCAAGCAAGAACGATCCAATCTCTAAAAGCCGTCTTTCATTGGAATTGAGCGCCACTTTATTCTTGTCCAGAAAAAGGATACCACTCTCCAAAAATCCAGGAACATTCTCCCCATATATATCAGGCCTCAAAGTAACATTGTATGTTACATCACCCAGAACCCGCAACAACAATCCAAGACAACTCCTCTCATGGGACACGTTAGTCTGTCGATTTGATTAGGTACGGTATGCATGGACCAAAGGTTGTTCTAGACACATTTCGCGGAGCTTTTCGTCTGACTTTACTATATGTATGAAACTGTCGCTCTGGCTGGAACCTGACGCTCTGTTGAGTTACGAGTTGCGAGGACAGCTTGGATGCAAAGAACCAGTTGAACTGCCCCTTTGGATTTGCACGGGAAGACTATTAATAGCAACCATCTACCTACACCCCTAATCAATCATTCAGCAACGGCTTTGCGATCCCATAATTTGGGATGGCTGAAAACTACCGGTATGCATAATACCAATGACAATACTTAGTGTTTTGCTAGCTAGCAAGTAAATAGAACAAACGAACCGAGAAATGTGCAAGGACGGTATCTGTCGTAACTCCTCTTCAACAAAGACACTCTCGTGAATAGCAACATCGGATCGAAGTGGTTAGCGGTTTAGCCGACGGATGTTGTTGTTGCAGTCGGAGCGGTAGCGTCAACCGCTTCGTCTTCTTGTTGTCTTGCGGATTTCGCATTATGGTCAACTCCCTCCCGGTCCACCCTCCATCGTCACCCCTCCTCTTTTTGCAGCCCATCCTCACCATACGGTTTTGCGTAGGAAATACAGGAAAAAGTAAGCACGATTTCAAGTCAAATTCCATAATCCTTGTGAAAATGACAACATGCATCATTTTTCCCTTCATTCAAAGTCCAAGAATTGGGTCCAATCCACCCCATATTAACTCTTCAACTTGTATCCCGCATCACACAAGAGTCGCAGTGCTTTTCGGTTGGGTACAGCAAGATGCTTGCGAGCGGATACTTCGAGGAATACATTTTGCACAATATGGGCATGCAACAACTGCTGGGCTCCCAACATACCACGGAATCCAATCCTCCACGTCCAATTGAGAAGACACAATTTGGAGTGCGTGTCAGCAGTAGCAAGCAGCACTGCCACTGGTGTTACCACTCGGTCGAGATTGTCCCAAAAGGTTATCGGAACGGGGGTAAACCTTCAACGGTCCTCGATCTTTGCGTCGTTTGTCACGTTTTTCAATAAAGTGTCCTTGTCCGGGATTGGTTTTATGTTCCTCAAATTCCAGCATGGCTTCTTGTTTGCCCACTCCGTAGGGATACAAGTTGACTTGTGAGCTCTTCGTCTTACCAGTAGTCGTTGTTTGCTGAAATGTTGTACTATGCATATTAATAGCAGTGGTGTCAAACTCTGAATACCATTCATTGAGTCGGAGTGATTCACAGAATCTCAATTGATTTTTGGGATTGGGTTCAAAGGAATCCACAGGAACCAATCCCTCGTTTGCGCATCCCCTTACTTCTCCTGGGTTTAGTTCAGTAGGGAAGTTATCTACTAGCTATACCGGTACCGGTACTTTGTAGATGTCCCAGTACCATGTAGTGTTTTCAGTTCTAAAAAATTAAGGACATTTCATTTCGAGTTGAGTCCCACAAAGTCCTCGTGCGATCTTCGCAGGGTAATCCGCGCGAGATCAGCGCTGATGTCGCGCGAACTTTGGGACTCACTCGAAAGATGAAAACTGTCTCTAATTTAGACACAATCTCAGTCTTACAAAGACTGCTCACCCGAGCAAATGTAGCTTCAAGAGTTATGTAGATTCTGAGCACAATCGTGGTGACCCAACTGCAGTGGGCTAAAGGCTTCACTAACATCCCACGAACTCGACTCCGTCATTGTAGATTCAATGCGTGGATTTAAGACGAGAGACCAAGTTCAGAGAGAAGATTGATTCAAGACTGGTCCATCAGCAATAAGTCAGTCGACTCGAGATGCTGTGGAGCAATTTGCAAATCGCTAATTACTGCCCAGACCTACATGACATTCCAGAGAGCACTCCACATCTTGGGGAGCGAGTGATGTGGTGCTATGTGGCAAGAATGTTCCGACCGTGTCGTCGAACATGTGGTCGAATGTGTGGTGGGCTCAATTGCCCCATGATGGCCACAGATGAAACTAGCGATTCGATTCCAGCCATCCAGAAGTCCGATTCTCGAGAATCCCAATGAATCCAATCCAGGCATCTGCCACATAAATGAGGTCAAGTACATGTAGCTTCCATTTTTGTAGGGACAACTTAAAGCATCACGATGCAAATTTGCATGCTCCATGACTTTCAGCTAATGTGGTCCCTCGCCAATAGTAGCTTTCAGTTCTTTCAAAATGAAATTCAAGTTCCATGCCACTTTGCGCCACTCGCTCTTTCAGCTACCATTGTGTTACCTGAATTGCAGACATAGTTGCCGATGGCTTGGAAGGCTTCCTGGATCTCAAGGTTCACAAATCGTGAAATCCTCACTGTTGTTCCGTACGAAAAAGCATGGATATTCACTCCATCGGTATAGGAACGTTCGTGATGGCGGTTTGTATCCTATCACTGTGTCGGCCGATCGATTCCTTTCGTAGCATAAGGTAGCAAGTCCTGCTTGCGTGGTTAGCGCTTATATTCCGTGTGTGTTATTTTCCTGTTGGGACTTGTTTTTATCCAGTTTTCTCACCCGGGAACTCCCCAGTCTCCAACAATGATCTGCTCATCAAGATGCAACCTGCAGCTTTCTTCGAATCCCTCCTACATGTATTGCAACAGACCCAAGGCAAAATTTTTTAGATTTGAATGCTTTGCCTCACGCACTGGAACTGCTTCAAATAATGATGTCATGCATGAAGAAGTATACTATTGGGTTTCGATGGACATGGTGAGTGAACGTTGGAACCTTGCCATTCCTAACTAGCATACATGTCACTTACCTGATGTACCATTAGAGGAGAAGCATTCACCAGCACATCAAACAACTGAACCCCCCTTCGAAATGAAAGAAAAGGAAGATATTATGGCTTAGAGGGAAATACTAGT